TTGCTCTTCTCTGCACTCTTTTTAGAGTCTCCACATCTTTTCTACATCGTGGCGACCAAAACTGAATGCAGTATTCCAAGTGTGGTCTTACCAAGAGCATAGAGTTAGCAAGGCAGGAAATAAGAAGCCAGGCCAGCATGGGAAGCTGGAAGGGCAGGAAAACAAAAGGCAGTAAAAATTAATTTAGAACTTAAATCTTCAGATATACGATTTTTAAACGTAGATTTTTAAACCATCCTTATAAGCACCTGAGATACTTTCATTACCATTGAGTTAGCTTGATATCCACCATAAAGCACTTAACTATCCAAGTTTCATTCTTAAATGTTGTGTAAGTGTATGGATTATTTCACTTATCTTGGAGATTAATTGCCATACCTATGTATAATGGAGCTGCTGACACATAAGGAAATACTAGAAACCTCAGAGAAGAATTTGGAAGTTACAGTGCTAGATTTTAAGATGTTCATTTTATTTATATCGTTTTGCCTTAAGTTGCATTGCTATATTAAAACAAGTGAGATACATTTTGAAGGTTGTAATTAGATACATGTGACTGTGTTTCTTTTTCTTTCTTTCAGGTACAGTCTATATTGGTGCCAGCCACCAGTGATATAAAATATTTCAGTTTGAATCAAAGCCATTATTTGATTATTGCAAGTTGTAGACCAGAATCTAAGTCTACCCAGGTTAGGAGACACTTCATTTTATTTCCTGTATTTGCCTTGTTTGTATATTTACCTAATAGCATATTATCTAGTAACATATTCAGAACCTACACAGCCTTATGAATTCCTTAAGGGGATGCATGCAAATCAGGCAGCAAATTCAAGTGTATATATTTGAATCATATGATCACTGGAAATATTTGAAATTTAGACTTTTTTCTACTTTTATGTTTCTATTGCACATTAATAAATGCAACTTGAGTACCATCTACACAAATGTGTACCTATTTTTGCATCCTTCTTCAGGACATGTTTTTGTATTCATATCTGCAAATTACTGTTCTGTGTTCAAAATGATGATTACAGATTAATCAGCTGAAGTGATAAACAATTAATGGTTAAAACTTTTCTCAGTTGGAGTTCTGCTTTAAATATGCTCCTAATCTTCAATTATTCTGATTACTCTGGCTGATCATGCATCTCATTTCTGTATGAATCTTGTACTTTGTGCCTACATTATTAAGCATGCCCTTGAAGAGCATTCGGCGACTTCAGCTTGTCCAGAATGCAGCCGCGCGAGTGATCGTGGGTGCGCCTCAGTACACCCACGTAACACCTATCCTCCGCGAGCTGCACTGGCTGCCTA